CTTTGAATTTTGTTACCTCGATTCCTGTGAAAGACATGAACAAGTTGTCAAATGATAAGTTTTTTATCATAATATGAGAAGTGTTTTGTCAGTTGATGTCTTACACAGGAATTGAGATAATTGAGCTCAAAGTTGACGATTTGAGGTAGTATTGAAAATGTCAATACTGAGAAAATTATGTTGGTTTGTCCCTGAATCTGGGATTTTACGATTCTGAAAATCTGGTTCAAAGTTTGAAATTTCGAAATTCTGAGATTCGATGTTTAGATACTTCATCGGTTCTGAAATTCTGATATTCAAAAAGTCTAAAATGTTGAAATCCTGAGCTTATGAGATCCTGAGATTTTGAAATTTTAAAATTTTGATTTTTGAAATTACGAAATTAGGAAATTCTGAAATTTCGAAAATTGCAAAGTCTGAAATTCTGAAAATCCGAAGCTCTCAACATTTAAAAAACTGAAATTATGCAGTTTTGAAACTTTCCAGTTTCGGGAGTCTAAAAATCTGAACATCTGAAATTTTGAAATTTGTAAATTTTAATATTCCGATGATTGGATATTCATAAATTCAGAGAATAAGAGATTTCAAAAATTTGATTTTTGAGATTCCATTTTTATCATTAAACCTTACTATCGATTCTGCCAAATTATAATATGAAAAATGTCATGTTTTAAAGATCAATTTTTCGAAAATCGTGACATTTCGAATTCCCTAATAATTCTAGGTTTCAAACACCTTTACTCATTGGAAATGCTGCCTTGTTACCCTATTCTTTTTCAAAATCATTTAAAAACCTATAATTTTAAATCTAGTCCTTCTAGGACGTAAAACTAATCGAGCTGATAATATGTTCCATATTCTAAAAGTCTTATGAAGTTGTCTTTGAACTTGGGAATTTCACAGTTTCAAAACTCCAAGATGTCAGGATTCCAGAATCCTTCTTTTTTACAAACCCCTATCTGATTGAAAAGTGAAACTACAGTAATCCCGGAATTCCTTTTCTACTTTGATAAACGACCCACAAAGAAAGAGAGGACGCGTGACATAATAAATATGCAAATTTTATGATTCCACATCTCAAAAAAGGAGAATACATGCATTTATTAGGGTATACCTGTTCATATTCCCATATTTCCGATCTCTTCTTGATTTCTTTTCACCCTTAATTTTTATTTTTTTGACTAACGGATGAAGATTTCGAACTAAAAATTAATCGTCTTCAATTTTTCTTCCCCTTTTTTTTGTTTTGTCCTGAAGCATGCTCTCGGAAAAACGCATCATAAAACGGGCGGTGCCAATTCGTTTTTTTCTGGAATAGAAAAAAACATGTCACAAACAGCGGATCCTGGGAGATAAAAATCGGAGGAAATATTAATTTTCGTAGTAAATTCGTACGAAAATAAATTTTCTACAGAAATTTTTAGGGTAGCACTCCAGAAACTTCTTCTATTTGTTCCGATTCATTTCCTTTTGATGTCATTTTTTTAGATTTACAAGAGTTTCCTCTCTTTTCTATTTCAATTGCCTTCTCCATTCCCATTCCACTCCTCCCCTCTCTCTTTTGTTCGGTTTCTGTCAACCGGTTGTTCCTCCTCTTCAGATCGCCACTCTTTTTTCACATTTAACATCTCAATTGCCTTCTTTTCTGGGTATTTACATATGCTAAATAGTACTTTTCTACTTCGTTTTACTAGAAAACCTCGAAATTCAAGGAAAATTCAATTGCAAAAATTTAGAGGTGTACGGTTTTGTCGTGAGGTAAAATGTTTCGTCTGCAATCTGTCGTGCGGTGTTCACACACCGCTTTCAAAATTAGTTTTTTTACTGTCCAGTCGCAACACTCCGTTTTTCTTTTGTTTTCTCTGAGTTTTTCTCTCCGAAATCTGTCCCAAATGACGGCCATTTCAAGGATTTTATGGCGCTTGAATGTTTGCAAACAACGGACGTTTTGCCTCCGACCCATCGCTGATTTGTTTGATGCGTAAATTTGAGAAATGGCTTCTTCCTAGTTTTTTTTTGTTTCTGCATTTCTCTGGGAAGTTTTCAGGACTTTAGATGACCATGAATCAACCAGGAAATACCTTTTTATTATTTTTCTGATTTTTTTTCCTTCCCCTATAGCTATAGAAAATTTCCGAAAACTTTTGATAATCCTTTGTATAAACATCCAAAACATCTAGATTTTCTTCACTTCAACAGTAAAATATTTCGATAAATCGCATGAGAAGTTTTCCATTACAGCAATGATTTATTTTACACAGTTATCCTCACTGTGTCCCTCACTCACGGTGCGAGGCATCTCCGTCATAGTTGCAAAAGTCTTTTTTTTTTCGTAAAATCGGCATCATGGGAACCCGGCAGTATAGTTGATTCGAAAGAGATGGATGGAAGAAAAGAGAAAAATACGCGCACATGTTTCGTAATGGCTGTCTTGTAGTTTTTCGTATTGTGTTCCAAACCGTACGATGCATTTTCACCTCGTTTTTCAGTTCTTTCACAACAATAACTTATTGTAATTGACCCAGCCTACCGCCTGCTTCTTCTCCTTCGTTCTCCTTCAAGTTCCCACCGCCCACCTCATATTAACGGTGCGGAAAGTGCGCATCAAAAGAAGGTCACCTGTTACACCCTCCCAACTGATCCGTTTCCTTTCTCTGCCCATCTAAATCTCTCTAATCCGTAATCTCTCCCCATCCTCGTATAAGTTTTCCTCTTCTTCGTCTTTCTTCAGAGAGCTCATCATCATTTCGCTTCTCTCCTCTAGAAAAGACTTATTCTTTCTCCCAGCTTCTCGTTCGGATACCAACAGAAAAGGGGAGACGAAGATGACTATAATTAAATCTGCACGCGGCATGTATTAATTCACATTTAGTGGAAAGGACTTGTTGAGAAGACACTCCTCAACGTCGTTTTTCCCATTTTCAGTCTTTCAGTTCGAAATCTAGAAATCTTCGAAAATAACTGTTGAATTAATGATGAGTATCGCGTTTTCTCCCCAAAAAATTCCGCCGCTATTTTTTTGTTATTTGCCGAATTCCTTCTGAAAACCTCTTTCTGCGATTTATTGTATTCTTTTTCTGTTAAAGATGATCTAGAATTTTATCCCCAATCTGATTTCCGATTCATATACTTTTTCAACTTTTCGAGATTTCGTGTCAACGAATTATTCATTTTTCGAGAAGGTGCATCAAATCTTCTTTTACTCGGTTTTGGGTTTTTTGGCGTGAAGAGCAGTATCGGAATACTATTCATCTGCTCATCTGGTGGTTATACAGGATGTAAAGGTCCTCGTTTTTGTGTAAAGTATTAATAAAAGAGAGGGTGACCTCACCACCGTTTTTACAACCGGGTCGAACTTTAGCACAAGTGTCAGGGATGTTCGGCTTTTTTTGAGTTTTGAAAATTTTGAGTTTTGAAAATTAAGCTTTTTTTGAGTTTTGAAATTTCCGGGATTTTGAATTATCCGATTTTAAAATTTTTTAATTTTTCAGAATTTTTTACAGTCAAATTTCGAAGCAGATCCACTTTTTCGCAAAAAAAAAAAACGCAAGAAACTGATGAAAAATTGACAAACAGAAAAGTTAAACAAACAGAAAAGTCGCAAAAAGGTTTTCCGCTCAAGACCCCCTACTGTAATTCGAAAAAAGATACAAAATATTCCGAATTTCCGAAATCCCGTTCCAAAAATACCCCAAACCGGGTTGAACGTTTGCAAAAATTTCATTATTAACTCGATTCTTAGCTAGTCCTTCTTTTAAGACTCCAGAATTTTCTTTTTTTTTGTGAGATGCTCAGATTTCCTTCCTTTTATTTCACCGCGCGAAAGTGTTATGCAACCTGTTATCCTTCTTCTCCTTTCACCTTTTCCCTCCGTTTGTTTATTCGCAAATAGAACACCTTATGCTCCATTTAAAACGGTCAATTGCCACTAATCCCTCTTTTTTTGAGCTCTCTGATGTCCTTTTTACTTGATATCAATCCCTTGTTTCTGAACTAATGAATCTCATAATATGTATTTTTTCTCTTTCTCGCTTTTTGATTATTTCAGCTATCTGGTACCATATTTTCAGAAGTCTGCGTATCTTCATCTACTGTACTATTACATCGAGGAATAACCGGAGGTATGTGTACACTTTTATTTACTACTATTTTAAGACTAATCCGGAATACTCTAAACTTTTGTCTTTCATTTCCTTCTCCTTTTTCCCCCACCACATTTTTCCACTTCCCACTAAAACGACGGGACCAATGTACCGGAAAATGTGCGTCGCATTCATTACTCCCTCACAAATGTTACCTTTTGTTTTCGTTTCCTCTCTTTTTGTCTAAAGAAGACCCAATAATCCTACAGTAATCCTTGTTGGAACCTGTTTTCTTCTGGTCCGATCTCAATTCATCAATCGTTTAAACAAGAGTGGGTAACCACGGTGTTAATTTCGGCCAATAACAAAATAGTACGTTTGTTACCGGAGACGCGGCAGAGAAGTACCGACAGAAAGTATGTAATTATGGCCTTAAATCGCTCCTCTCTTTCCCCACCACCAACTACATCCAGTCTTTCTACTTGTTTTCGAATTTTATGCACTCTTCTTTTTGTGAAAAGTTTCAAAAAGAGAGTTTTGTAATTTAGCCGGCTTCAAGATTCGGTCCAGGGCTGTTCGGAACGAAATTCCAACAATTCTGACAATTTTCGGAATATTTCCAAACCTATTTTTTCTCGGAATACAGTATGTCAAAGGCGCACGCGGGAAGTTTCCTTGCGGGTCTCGAGAAAAAGTTTCCTTGCGGGTCTCTTTCAAGGCGAAATAAGCGGAAATTTCGATAATCCGAAACTTTTAAAATCGGAATTTTCGACATTCTGAAAAAATCCACAAAGGCGAAAAAACATCTCTGTATTCGGTTTTTAAAAAAGCTTTATTCATCAAAAAGTTAAAATAATTTAGTTTCCTTGATCTATAATTGCTCTCCTTGATGATAATTGCTCTCCTTGCTTAAATTCATTATGATCCATGAACGAGTAGTTGAGGATTCGGCTGAAAATTCTATTTTCTACATTTTGTGAAAGAATTTTACCTGATGGGATACATGCTTATTTATAACATCGAGATTTCTAGAACGTTGAATATGATCATCATTCTCAATTTCTTGAAAATGAGTCACACTGTGCTTGTATTCTAGAATCGCTCCCTTGTTTAAGCTCTTTTTTGTCTCATAAATCAGAAGTTGTTGCCTTTTGAGATTCATTGATAGCTGAGCCTCGGTCCCGAGTCGTTTGATAATGAAAATTCCGCATTTGACTTCTGATTCCCCAAGAATCGGATTGTATGGAGCACACTTCAAAACTCCGTCTTCGACATAGTCGCATGTCATATGAATCGTTGGAATCCGTTTCTCTACAACCATCTGCCAGAACTGTTGAATCTGATCGGCACGTGGGCCAGCCACCTCGATCAGGATCATACCATTCTGACGTTTCTCGGATTGCACTGGATAAGAAGAAGAATCGAGAAGTTGAATTTCGTCTAGAATTTTTGGCTATATTATTTGGTGATAAAGTATAGTTACCCTCAGAAACTTCTTCTACTGAACTCGGATTCTCAACTACAAAATCTGCAAGATTTTGTTCGTATTGATAGACAGCTACATCTGCTCCTGTAGCTATCCTCTCCTGAGATTCGGAAACCAAATCATTCGTTTCAGCTGTTTCTTGAGAGATCCCATCTGTAATTCAAATCTAGAAGCTACCGTAATCTACCGTAATCCCTTACTCTCTGCCACATAATCTTCCAATGTCGAAACCAACTCTTCATGTTCCTCCTCGTTTTGGTCCGAAGAAGAGCGGGAATTGTATTCCTCCGGAGATTCATCATCATCGTCTTCAGTCTCAGAAGTCGTCACCCCATCGGTATCGGAACCATTTTCAGACTGATCTACCTCAGTTCCAGTGGTGACGCGGGATTCTGATTCCTCGAAATTTCCTGATTCATTTTCCACGACTTCCGGATTATCGATAGAATCGTTTTCTGCACAATCCTCATTCTCAGAATCCTTTGGTTTCTCCTCATCTTCTGTAGTTTCCCACTTTCCGACTTCTTCTAATTCCAATTTCTCCCGAACATTTCCTTTTGGCTTCTCCGATACTTTGGATGATTTTGAACCCATATTGGGGTAGAAGACGTTAGCTTAAGTGCTCCATGTCTACGTCAGGTGTCTTGCACCGGATATGAAACATTTGATGCGTTGGATAGTTCACGTTAAAATTATATTTTAATTAGGAGTGCTAATGGATTCGAGACCTCCAGAAGACTACCAAAATAGTTCGAGGCCTTCTGGAACACTCGTTCAATTCCGATTCTCTATTCCATCATCTTCTTCTTCTGCTCTGTTTCTTTTTTCCATCTTTCTCATCACCCCACACTAAAATGTGTGGTGTCTCTTTTGGAAGACACTTCCGGAGTCCGGAAGAGTCGACGGATGCGCGCGCCAATCCTTCTGGTGAGACAACGACGACGACGTGGTGGAGACAGAAAACGCAAAAATGATCACAACAACCGAATAAAAATGATACATTCCTTTTTTCTTCTTGTTTTTTCTATCAAAAAACTGTATCCCAAACCAATAATCCGACAAGTTTTATATAAAATCCTCCTCTAGAAATCCTCTTATCACAAAACTAAATTCGATGTAAATAAACAACACAAAAACATCCGCCTCCCCAATACATAATTCCCGATTTACGGAGATATATGCTAAAGACGATTTCCTCCCATCCTACGTCTTTTTTCTCTCCATTTTTTAGATCAGTCAGCTTTTGTCATTTTTTCCAGAACGTTCTTCTAGCCCATATTTATGTATTTTCAGGTCAAGAAGCCACGTCACAGGATGCTCTCAACGATGGTGCATCACTTCGATCCGAATGGTTTTGTGAAAGATGACTGGAAATCAGGAGATGCGGTTAGTTTTTTTCAAAATAAAATAAATGAAGATTACTGTAAAACCTGTAATAGAAGAGCCCCCACATTTTCAAGTTTGAGCTCAATTATCTCGGTTCCTGTGAAAGATATAAAAAAGTAGTCAACTGATAAATTGTTCATCATTATAATAGAAACATTTTATCAGTTTACACATTTCTAATATCTTGCAAAGGAGCCGAGAAAGACGTTTTGGAGGCTCATCTATTACAGGTTTTACAGTAATGTGTGCACTTTTGTGGGATTCGGGTTCTGTCCAAAATCATACAAACTTTGAAATTCGTTACTCACTTCCATTTCCACCTCCACACTGTGGGTTCTCTAACACAGTTTTCTTCTCCTTCTTGACTTCCTGCTCCCATTAGGTATGTCAATTAAATCAACATGAACTCTCTATATACCGCGACCGGACAAATACCGGTACATACAGAGGGGCTCTCAGATGTTTGACTTCTTTGAGATTCGAGGCGAGAGAGAGAGAGACAACCTGCCCCCTATTTGTGTGCAAACACTGAAGAAAAAGCTCAATTTCTTATAATGGGGAGGCAGGCTTCTTTGTTTCGAATCCTGTTAGAAAACTGTAACTAGGTATTCATTTTTTGTAAAAAGTTGCCCTCATTCGAGACGACGACCACCCATACAGTCTCTTTCTTCCTATCATCTCAATCGTTCGGTATATCAAATGGACCATAAAAAAGACGATGATTCTCTCTAGTTCTCGCGCTACCACCTAGTTTTCTTTTTCTTCTTTTCCGGCAGGCCACACCTGTCCACATTTTACTTTTAATACCGTTTGACCTGTTTTCCGTAGAAAAAAGAAACTTTTCTCATTTTAAAACAAATGCTCTTTTGAGACTTTTTCCCACTTTTCTCTGTTTTTATTTGCCTTTTCACTTCCTTCCGATGATTTTTTGACAAGTGGATTTGACGCCTATCCTGTGATTTTTTTTCGAATTTTGATCCAGAATCAACAATTAAAAATCAATTTGCAGTTTTCTGTTTCTTGAGATTAGCATCTTGCACTTCTCTTCCTTCGATTCCACCGTAAATCATTCGTCACTGAATCTATCTTCTCTGTCTTCTGCTGACACAGTAGCCTTTTTTGCTGAAATTCAATGAATAAATGATCAGAAATCCCCAACTTTCTCCTTCCGATGTGTATCTAATTATACGCACTACGCATATTGACATAATATCGTTTTAATTGATCCCCCGTTGAAGCTGTAAAGTGGAAGAATTGTCTACTTGAACCTATCTGAAATTGTTCCCACTTGCAAACTGCGCAAGAGTCTTTGAAGGTGCACCAGCCAGTGGGTTATACTGTATCAATCTCCCCTTTTCCGAGCTAAATATTAAAAAAAAAAACATATCCATTCACTTCCTTTTAATCTAGAGTTTTTCCTCATCTATACAGTTTAGAAGAGGTCGGGGTGGCGGCGGACCGGCATTCTCTCTTTTCTTCCTTGTACGTCCCACAAAGATCTATATCAGTAACGGAAAAGAGAGATGGTTCGAGTGAGATATAGATCCCCAATGACCCCAAACATAGAGGCAGTACGGAGAGGTGGTACAGTCATTTCATGACACAAGGATTTTTTGAAAGTTTCCTGGCTCTGTAAGCTAGCACAAAGAGAATTTTGGAAATTTGAGCATTTTTTCGAAGTTTTCCATCTCGTATTCTGATACCGTTGTGTTTCCAAGTATAGTTTTACTCGAAAATTATCATCTTGCTATCTTAAAAAATCTCGAAACACTCAAATCCCACATGTATGGTAAAACTGTTTTGCAAGACCCCTTTTCTTCACACGACCTGAAACTGAAATTCCCAGCACCTGCTACTGTTTTCAATCTCTCTCCCATTCTTTCTCTCTCTCTCCTCTATTCGACGTCCACTTTGCCTGTTTGTAATCCGAATTAGTCGGTTCTCCTTCTCTCGTTCTCGGCCCAAAACTAACCGCCTGACTGAATAACTGATCACAAATAATTCACCTTTTTCTCTCTCTCTCTCTCTCTCTCTCTCTCTCTCCCTATACTCCCGTCCATATCTGATTATCTTTTGTACGGGTACAACATCATAAAAATATAGGTAGTCGGATGTTTCGGGAGAAAAAAAATCCAGAAATGATCATCATGTCAATAAATATTTTTTACCGAATCTCTTTATCCTCTGATCTCTTATTCACTTGTACCGCATCTAGGCGGAAGCTCGTAAATTTTTATTAGGATTCGCTTCGCTTTTTGGGAAGACTGTTACCGACGTTTTTTAGTTTTATATATAAGGACGATTAGTAGATAGTAAACGAAAAAAAATCACAATGTCATCTGCTCGGGGTCTGATGCTCCAGAAGCAGCGTCGTCAATCGTTCCGCCTCATTTGGAAGAACACATATCCGTCTTTCTTCCTCTTCTTCTCGTTTCCTTTTTAATTGTTTTCAATCAATTTCTTGATCATTTCGAATTAACTGTAGGTTCATTTGATACAACCTTGAGGAGAAGATCTCTAGGCATAATTAATTGAGTTCTATCTATTTTTCTCCCCCAAAGAGACTGAAGGCCGAAACACCGTAATCACCTGGAGACAATATGGAAAGGCGTGGTGGTAAAGAGAGTGATATGCCGACAAAACGGAAAGAAGAAGATGGTTTTCTCTCTTCCTCTAAATGTTGGAATAAATCGAAAGGAAAGCGATTTGTTTCGGTGTCTCTCATTCTTTTTTCATTTTCTGGGTGCGCACAGGAGGTTGAAATAACCTGTTTTGCCAATGTGTTTCTTCTTCTTCCTTCCCTTAAATCTTTATTTCCCTACCGTCTCTCCAGTTACCGTAATATTTCATATAGTTTCATTTTGACGTACGTCAAGGAAAAAGGAAAAAAGTGAGAAAGAAAGAGACCTCACTCGTTTGCCGCACACAACAATCGGACCGTTGATTTGTTTTCTCTGGAAATTTTCTTTCTGAAAGGTCAAGGAATCAGTAAATCGCCCTACAGTACACCTGTTTGGAAGCCTATTCCCATAAATGATTTGGGGATTCGCATCCTAATTCTCCGCGACGCACCGTATCAACTTTTTTCTCTTCATTTGCTACTTCATCTTCCTTTTATCTCTCCCTATTGCCTTATCCTCCTATGTCCCATTTGCCACATACATAGACACTTAACAAAATTAGTCGGCAGCCAAAAAACTATCAATACAACTGGTTTGGTGGATTTTAGTTGACGCCAAGTAGGCTTCTTCTCTGACCGTTTCTCTATATACAGTGCGTATGATTGATGAAAAAGTGGGAGAAGCTGGTCTTGGAGATGACCATGGCAAGATATGGAAAAAGGGAGATGAATAGGAGTTTACATTGTTCCGAATGTTGCCAATCCATTTGGAAAAGAGAAGCTTTACAAAAAATGAAAGATCTCAAAACCTCATTAGTTGGTTCAACATGACTTGATTCCGATTTTAAACTTACTAGGAAATAGTGTAAATTGCCACCCAAACCGTCAACTTTGAGCCATTTTTTCTGGGTTTCCGTAAAAGATATCAAAAAGTTGTCAACTGAAAAAAATGTCTATCATAATATATGGAATATTTTATCAGTTAACCCCTTCTCAGAAAGTGAGATATATGGGTTAAAAATAGACGGTTTGGGTGCCATTCTATTAAAGGGCTTACGGCAAATTCTAAGTTTTTTCTGGAATTACGTAAATTCATACATGAAAAATGAGGTCCACTGGACCGACGAGTCCTTCTCTTATCCTTCGTTCCTAGTTTTGTACCACGTCTACAAGACAAACTTCCGATGAAGTCAACCATCGTCGTCGTCTCTCTCCGCCCTTATCCTCCTTCTTCGTTTGCCAATTGATGTTATCTTTTTGGAGATATCTGGCCAGTCCTCATCACGGTTTTCTCTTCTTTTCAACATACATTTTCCCTTTTTCAATTAGACTTTTCGTCAGTTTTTCCTAAAGAAACGCCTTCTTCTTCTTCTTTCAAATTAATTTCAGTCGTTTTCCCTTCCCTTCACTCACTTTTGCATATATGGACTGATTCGAACAACTACTATATCGTTTTATGACTCCTCCTTTCCCAAACACCCCGCTCTAGATGTTAAGAAGACAAAGAACTAGAATTAGTTGTTTTTTCTTCTTCAAGTATTGGGCATTTTCCATATATGGAGAGAGATCCTCTGTAACTTTTATATCTCTTCCTCCTCCCTTCGATTAGAAGAAGTTTCTATCTGTCAATATAATGATAAACTGTTCTTTTTTGACCTTGAAACGTTCTGCAGTTCATCATTCCCCACCCACTTCTTCTCCGAAGACTTCTGAAGGGATGTTATCTTCAATGTTTGTACATTTCCTCATTTTCTTTCTCTTTTCCCAATTTCTACCCGATCCCAAAAGTGCACACAGAAAAGCGTCTTTGACCCTCGGGTTTCTTTTCTCTTCCAATGAGTTGAAACACCCTCCATTGGGACTACTGTATTTGTTCGGCGGCTCATCCCAGCCCCCGACGGCGGGGTGACTCGAAAAACGAAAAGTTAAAACAATAGGAGAAAAATGTTCGGTTTTTGAAGAAATTTGACATTTTCACAAGCAGCTCTAGTGATCGTTACTATAATTTCAGCTTCTGTTGTTTTATTCTAATCCCATAAAACTGAGAGAACACTAACATTTTTCATTGATTTATATATCTGCACAACTCACATGCAGCTAACAGAAATTATCGAAATTTCAAAAAACAAAAATTATTTAACTTTTATACTTTCCGCCCACTCAATATTTGCATAATACCTACCATAATTCTCTTCCTTTTTCTAAACCCCCCGTTTTTTCTCTCTTCCAAAATTGCAAGCGTGCCGTTTCTTCAGACAACCGCTGAACCGCTGGTTGCCACGTCTTCATCATCGACGACGTCTTCTGAATCGCACGTCACCACCGCTTCTACATCGGCTCCGACGTCACCGATTCTGGCTCCTCCGCCCATTACGCTTCAAGACGTTATGACACACGCTTCCACGGAACATTTAACACCTAACGGTAATTTGGAGTTTTCTCTCTTCAGATTAATGATATCATCACATAATTACACACAGTTCAGTGTTGTTTTTTCTTATTTTGCAACAATCTTAAATTCTTAGTTTTTTATATCTCTAACTACAAAAAATAACCAGAATTTCTGCATGAAAGTATTTCGAAAAGGCATGTCGGTTTAAATGAAAATATACTACTCATTCCTTCCCAAAAATATTCCCTCGAAAAATCCATTAAACGGAGCCAACTGACACCTTATGATGATCATTAAAATTTCGGGGGGTAGATCGTTAAAATGGAATGATATTTTGGTTGGGAATAAGATGATATTTGAAGGGTGTGGTGGTGGTTCGAAGTAATGGTTTAGAGATGGTACCGTAATCCTCTAGAACTCCCCAATTCCATATTTTGTTCGGAACCGATAGTTATTAGAGATACAATAGGTCAACGCACTCGAATGTTTCGATATCCTTGACATCTCTGCGCGCAGCAGCCATTCAAAGTGATAGCCAACTGAAGTACTTGGACTTTCTGCTTCTCTAGTTCCCCATCTCATCACCTCTACCATCATCTACGGATCTTTTTTGCTTGTCTCACCTAGAAAAACGGTAGAGAAACGAAATAGAGAGAGAGAGAGAGAGAGTTAAAGAATGAGAGAAAAGAAAAAAGATGCTCTCAAGTGGATATGGAACCGCCCGACCGAGAGACCCTTTCTCTCCCGAGAGGAGCCCTCAATCGGAAAGATAACCCGAGTTTATTGAGACGCAGGATCGGAAAGATCTCCCGCGCGCACGGTGTAACATGGTAGCGAGGGAGCCGTCTGCGTCGCTTCGTCTCATATACTCTCTCCGTCATCTCTAGCTCTTTCTCCGATCGCCCCGCTGACTGCCCCCTACGATCCCTGCCGCCATACGCACTCAGACGACGACATACACCACACCCCAAACTTTTACCCCCGTTTCGATCCTCTAGTACTTTCTCATTGCTGTTGAACATGGATGGTGATGGTGTAGTCGCCACGCCGTCAGATGCTTCAGAAGATCAGACTCATCTGAATCTGGAGTCATCGTCGTCACTAACATCTCTAGTTATTCCTCCGCCACCAAACGATTCGGGTCATGAATTCATCGGGCCTTCTTCCGGTCCCCCACAGGTTACAATTACGCCGTCACCGGCAAGTCATCAGCCAGGTGAGAGGGTTACGGTAGCGCTGCTAATAAAAATTAGTTCTTCTGAAAACACTGTGAAATCTGGATGATATTTTATGCAATTTTTAATAATTTTGGAAATTCATCTATTATCATTTTCAGGTAGCACGAATGGAATATCCACATCACAACAGCAACAATATTCTGTTGAATATTTATCTCAACTCTTGAAAGACAAAAAACAGTTGGCCGCTTTTCCAAATGTATTTCATCATTTGGAACGACTCGCCGACGATGAAATCAGTAAAGTTCGGGTAGCACTGTTCCAGTTTGAATTCACAAAAGACAATGTGACACTGCCGGATGCAGAAGGAGATATTACGGTACACACAGAGAAGGTATTTGTTCCGGCAAAGGAACACCCTGATGTGAGTTCTCATTTTAAAGCAACATCTGAAAACAAGGTTATTTACAGTATAACTTTGTGGGTCGGATACTCGGTCCACGTGGAATGACAGCTAAACAACTGGAACAAGAGACCGGATGTAAAATCATGGTTCGAGGTCGTGGATCAATGAGAGACAAGAAAAAGGAGGAGCTGAATAGAGGAAAACCAAACTGGGAGCACCTTTCCGAAGAACTTCATGTATTGATTCAATGTGAAGATACTGCAAACAGAGCGAAAGTGAAATTGCTGAGAGCGATGGATGAGGTGAAGAAGTTGTTAGTGCCAGCACCAGAAGGAGAGGATGAGTTGAAGAGAAAACAGTTGATGGAATTGGCGATTATAAATGGAACATATCGATCGGGAGCTGATCAGAGTGCGTTGGCAGCTGCGCAGTTAGCAGCAGTTAAGCAACAGCCATTGGTTGCTCTTCGTATGTTTCAACCCTGAAAAATCAGAATTTTACATTTCCTGAATTTTAGAAGCCGCAGCCCTCCAACGAGGTGTTCTTCCAATGATGGCTGCCAATGGAATCTCCCGATCACCAACCATGGCAGTTTGTGGAGCACCAATCGTAATGAGTCCTTCTGGAAGAGCCGCTTCTGCTGGAGCCACCGCCACGTCACAAGCTGCTTTGATTATGCAGCAACAGTCTCAACTACAGGCTGCAAACGCTGGAAATGCGGCTGCTCTTCAACAACAAGCTGCTCTTCTGCAACAACAACAGGCAGAATATCAGCAGATTCTTCTGGGGTGAGTATTTGATTTATGACTTCTTTTGGATCTTGAACAACGGGGAACTTTTGGTATCTCTTCATCTCGATTGCCAACTGCTTTCAACACGAGAAAACGAATCGACAGCTGTGTCGTAATATTGACACCGACTCGGTGACAAGTGGTTTTTGCTAGGGGAGACTGGGAGGAGAGAATGACACGGAAGTATAGAGATACTACATGTTTTTCAATGTTTCTGGAAAATTGGAGCTTGATCTTCTGGTCCTGGACGTCCAAAAATTCAAAATTAATTTCAGCCAAGCCAGCCTCTACGATTTCTCTGCCATCCAACAGTACGCAGCAGGACAAAATGCCGTTGCCGCTGCACAAGCTCAAGCTCAAGCCCAATACGGAGCTCTTGCGGCAGCCGCTGCGAATCAAGCTGGCGGACAACAGTATGCAGAATACGCTGGAGTAGATTTAACGAGTCAACAAGGTGCACATGGTGGGTATTACGTGAGACGATGGGCCTGAGGACCTCTCTTCCATTTGAATCCCCCAATCATGATATTTTGTACACATCATATTCCATTTATTCATTTTTCAATTATACCAATTCCCCGCCTTATCATTACTTATCATTCCGTCGGGGTGGGCTATTGTCTCTTTTTTCGTGCTCTGCTCACACTTTAAACGCCTTCTCTTTTTTGATTTCCGTGTGCATGACGGTCTCTTGTTGCTCAACTACATATTAAAACATGTAGAAATGCCCTAATTAGCTGCCAAATCGTTCGTTTCAACAACAACCACTGGGTTTTGTTATAGTTTGTTAATTACTATTTATTAATTTATTGAGTTCGAGTTTCTCTACTAAAAACTGGTATCCGAAAATCCCCTCAAAATTATATGAGCAATCAGTCAATAACCACTTTTTTTGAAGAATCAAAATATTTATTTATTTTCGAAACGAAATATCAGAAAACTACGAGGAAAAACGATTTTGAAGCATTCCAAAATATAAAAAAAACGGGTTAATTCGAAGCATTTTTTTGAAAAAAATATGGGAAATGTGTTTAGTGAAGGAGAGCTAATTAATATGTCGTAACACCTGTATTATGAAGGTTTCTCTAATAGAAGGGCTCTCCGAGAGAGGCTTGGAAAAATTGAAGGGCCCTCCACAGAGGTACCCTCGAACAATAGAAAAGCCCGCCTTTTGATACAGGTTTTACGGTATGGAAAAATGCCTAAAATATTAATAAAAACCAAACAAATAATCATCCTCTAACCCCCCCTAAATTTATCTCATGTTGTTTCTTTTTTGTCTTCAGGTGCAATGCTTAACAACCGTCGTCTGTTGGGTGCCTCTCGTGATCACCCCTACAAACAGTAACCAACCAACCACAACCACACCATCACACCACTATCTATTTTCTCGTTTTTTGATTTCTTACATTATATTTCTGCTGCAATTCTGATCAACTACTTTTCACACATTTTCACTTTCTCAACCAACCAATCAACCGCTTTTCCCCTTTAAAAACTCCCGGGAAACTCAACTTTGTTCTTTTTTTTCAAATTCCCTCCCTTTTCCTTTCTTTTTTTACCCCAGTGTTCCCTTTCCCTTTAGAGATATTCTTGTTCTAAAAATGGGTGATTTTTTTTCAAATTTCTCACACACAACAAAAAGTGCCTTCAACACAACCTCTCTTATCGATATTATTTGTCTACATTTTGTCATAGTTTTTTGATCCATTTGCTCACATTTTGTTTTTTTTTCTGACACTAACTATGTATCACACATTTAGCCAAGCCTCTCTTTTCCACCCCTTCTTCGTTTAATGCATATCCCTAGTCACGCCCCTTTTTATTACATTCAATTGTATATTTTTTTTGAAAAAAACGACCCCATAATTTTGACTTCAATTCGGTTTTACTGTCTCTTCAATTCTGTGCCCATTTTCCCCACAAATCGTGCATAATCTTATTTCCTGTATTTCGTAGTGAGAATTGTCTAGAAATTTTCCTTTTTCTCCATTCTTTGCCTGTATTCATTTCGGTTCCATTTCTTGATTCAAACCCCCCCTTCTGATTTTTTTTCTTCTTGCACCCACATTTTTATTCATCTTGAAAAGATAAATTGTTCAAAACGCTGGTTTTCAAAAGTACCTGAAGTTTCGTACAAATTTATTATCCAGAATTTCTGGAATAAATCAGGAATTCCGAAAATTTGAAATTTGAAAAAAACTGGAATAAAGGAAAATCAAAATTGAAAAATCAGAACCATAAAATTTTCAAAAAGTAAAAATTCTGAAAATCGAAAATTTTGGTGAATCCGAAAGTTCAGAAAATGTTAAAAAATCAGAAATTCAAAAAATTGAATTTCAGTAGCAATGAAAAATTATAAATTTTGAAACTCAAATTCGGAAATTCATAAACTCGGAATTTTCGAAAATCAAAAAATTGAAAAACTTAAAATTCCTTACTATTATTTTTAGAAGCTCCGAAAAACTCTGGAATTTCAGAAATACGAAAGTTCAGAAAATCGAAAAAGACAAGATTTCGAGAAATTTCAATTCAGAATCATAAATTATCCAAAAAAAAAGAAAATGTGAAAAATCTAAAAAATCAGAATTTTGAAAATCGGAAATTCGATGAATCCGAAAGTTCAGGAATTTGTAAAAAAGCAGAAATTTAATAGAATTCGAAACTCGGGACATCGGACATTTAGAAATTCTGAATTTTCGAAAACCGAAGAAATTCGAAAACCTGACATTCCTTGATTTTCCAAGAAAGTCTGGAATTTCAGAAATTTGAAAATTTAAAACGAAAATTCAAGATTTCGGGAAAAATCCGAAATTCTGACATTTAATTATTCGGAATCTCATAGTTTCATCTGTTGGCCAGATCTCATATGACAAGTTTGTGAAAGTTAAATCGAAAACGAAAAAAATATTTATTCGGAAATAAACTAAAAGAAACGAGTTATTATCTTCCATCCGGATGCACCCATTATGTCTTATTCTCTCCCAAATTGTTCAAATAATCATCAAAATCCTGTTGATTTGCCGATTTTTCGTCTAGAATCGGTCCTTCCCGTGCCGAAAACTCTTTGACATCTTTCATCGTCTTCTGTGCTTCTTTACTTGTCACTTTCTTCCCTGGAGCATTTCGTATTGTTCGTGGTGGTGGTCTCAGTGATTCTTTCGATGCCATTCGTTGTGTTTTGTCCAATTTCATCTCCGATTTTTTCGGTTTTTCATTTTTGATTTCATCAGGTCGATCCGGCGTTTTCGCTTTTGAAACTGACTGTGATGTTGGTTGCGATGGAGTTGACGTTGAACAGCTGGGCGCTTGTTTTGGTGGTTCCTGAAAAATACTATTGATTTTTTTTCTGTTTTTTTTTTGTCAAAATATCATTATTGTTCCCACCAATTCAGTGCTCGTCGTACTATTCTGATTGACTGATTTCTTAGTTGTAATGTCGGCCGTCGGCGGTGGTGAATGCGTATCGTTTTTGTTCTTCTTACCATCAGCACAACCAATCAAAATCACACTGACCAGTGTTGCATTCACTATGAAAAGTGAAGATTTCAGCACGAAATACAGTAGTTTCGCTCTGAAATTTGAGGGAAATATAGCTTGAAAAAAACAATGAAGAGAAAAGAAAACTAACATCATATTGAAGGAAATAAATTGAAAAATGATTGATAGTCAAAGGCTAAAGGTTTTTAGAATATTTGAGGAGGATAAGGATTCAGGGTAATCCCACGTTATGTACTGTAACTGTTGATACTTTTAATGAAGATTACTGTAGTTCTCACCTAGGTCAATTCTTCTATGCTTCTCTTTATCTGTATATTCTGTGACACTCTACAAAACTTCATTTATGAGGGAAACCAAATACAAAAAAGAAAAAGAAAAATGAATTAGGATTGATTTGTAGTGCGAAGAGAGCGATGATAAGTGGATGCGAATTTGGTGACCGAATCCTCCGAAATCAATTTGTTCGAAACTCCAAAATCCAGAAGAACTTTCCAGATGAGCATGTACTGTTGAAGAGTTTGGACAGATGTTGCACGACCCGTCAAACGGAGATTTGTCACTATCTGAAATTCAAGGTTTTTGATTTTTCTTTTTGAGATATTAAAAGTTTCACATGTCCCTTCTTCTTTGATAAAAATAAAATTAAAAAAGTTTTCTAACCTGCTTGATATCAGGTAGCTTGAAATGAGTATTGATTGATTGTAACGCAATTTCAACCGCCACCAAAGTACCAGATCTTCCGACACCAGCAGCACAATGAATAATCGGTGGAGTAGTTCTTGCTCGAATTTTTCTGAGAATCTTCAACATGACTTCCGATGATCCAGGCACTTGATAATCAGGCCATTCTTTCCATTGTAAATGAGTAATGACTCGAGATTCACCCTCAAATGATAGATTTAAACGAGTTGAAACAATCATTTTATTATTGGTTGCTTCCTCGAAAGTCACTGTTAATTTGTCGAAACGAAGTGTGGAATTTGCGTTTCGAGGGAAATATTCACAACATTTCTCTCGATTTGTTTCCACAAACTGACATAACATCACAATTGCATTTGATCTCTCCTGCCAAACCATCCTCCAAAAATCAGCAATCGTTTCCTTTTTTGGTCCTTGAGTCAGAATATATCCACGTTTCAAGAAGGGACTTTTGATATGATTCGCGTGAATGTAGTCAGATGATGGATTGTTTTTCTGGGCCATGAATGTGAGACGAACTCGAGAACTGTCAAGACATGGGATATCTGGAATTCAGAAAAGGATTCAGAAATCAAACTTGAATCTTACTGAAGTATCTGTTCTTTCTGGCATTTGCTCCATTGTTGAAAGCCATACATTGATCCGATGATGGATCTCCAGGCAGCTCATTAAATTCATATTTGAAGTCGTCAAGTGTCATTTTCTGGGAGGCCATCGCAAAGTCCTTGAACAACTTTCGATATGCTTCACGGATCTCTTCATCGTCAGCCAGTGAAATGGAATCCTTCGTCTAAAAATTCGAAGTTCTACAGGAATCAAATTTTGAAAATTACCTCCGATGCACTTTCCTCCATCAGATTGTCTCTTCTGGAACTCGGTGATTCAGAAGTGGATTTTCTCCTTCCTGATTCTTTTTTTCTCGGATACTCCGGCTCACTCTCTCCATCCAATCCAATCAATGATCTATCACTTTTTATTGTCTTCGCCGGCAAGAAACTTTTGGATTGCGGAAGATCCGAGTACACGGAATCGTTGCTTCCACTCAAAGAATTTGAAAGGGATCCTCTTGACTTTGACTTCTTCGCCAGTCCACTGTCTAGGTGGTCGCTTCTGAAATTAAAAGGTTACTGTAACTCAAATTCTGAACTTCTATACTTATGTACTGTAACTCAAAAATCGCACTGAAATAATTGGAAAATCTGTTACCTGACATCAGAAGATCTCACGGAACTCGGCTTCCGAACTTCCGACGTTGGAGGTGTCGACATGGACTTCTGCTGTTGTCTGCTGTTGGGTGTTAGAGACATCCGATTGGCAACTCCTTTTACAATTTTTTGAATCGGATTTCTGCTTTCCCGATTGTTAGGAGTACTTGATTTAGTTGGAGTCGGTACCGGAGATGGTTGCATTCGTTTAGGAGGCGGATCTTTCCTGAAAGACAAAACTTTCCATTGTTTCAAAATGCCGTTCAAAACTCACAGTGACCGTTCACTTTTGGAATCTGATTCACTTTTCGGTTGTCTTCTTCTCTGATGAGAAGATGATGGAGCTGAAGATCCAGAAGACGTTTTTGAGTTCTTACTCCCACCACCGTCATTTGAGCTTGGTTTCTTTGGCACGTCTTGCTTTGCTTTCTGAAAAATTATTTTGAACTTCGAAAAATTCGAACTTCCAGGGGCTCACTCTGTTGAATCTGTACATTGTTCAACGTTTAGAAACGTTTCCGCCTTCGGAGAAACAAAAATTATAGCCGTCTATAGGGGAATATTAGAAAAAAGGGTATAGACTGGAAGAGTGGGGAAATAGTTGGACACAGTTTTATCACCACGTTGATCATTGCGTTTTTTCCGAGTCGGCACACTACGTGGTTACGCTAAAAAAGCGGAGAACATCAACTCACGTAGATATTGTAGAACCTTTTGATAACTGACCTGATTTAGGGTTCTAAAATCCCACAGGCTCAATGAAAAGTAAAGAGCACTAATGAGGCTTTCTGGTATTTTTAGAAATGTTACTTAACGTTTTTTACAGAATCACAGACTTCCTGGATCCCTCAAAAGTGTTGCCTAAAATAAAAGTTCTGATTGATGTTCCGGGTTTGTGAAATCCGGCTTACCTAATGCCTGATTCGGAATTTCTAAAGTTTCAGGTTTCGAAATCGGTGAGATTTCGATACTCGTACTTATGTTTCGAATTCCAATTAGTTGAATTGTGAGCAAGTGTAGACTACAGCACTTGCCCTCCAATATCCCCCCTTGTCCATAGGTTGTGCCCCCTTCCCCATGCAATACATAATGACGCGCGGAACCCGGGAGATGTCGGCTGCTGTCTAGGGGGTCCCTATATAAACATATGACCTATATAAGATTTCGTTCTTCCGAGAACATATACTAAAATTGGAACAATACAGAGAAGATTAGCATGGCCCCTGCGCAAGGATGACACGCAAATTCGTGAAGCGTTCCAAATTTTTTGACCGATTTTGTTTGATGACCTGTTTTTGCAATAGTTATCTCTCAGTAACCTGAAATATTGTGAGATAAGGCTCTATTTATTTTGACATTTTATTCAAGAAAAGTTGAAATTTTGGAGAATTCGTTGCAGATTCATGTTTTCCTGATTCAGTTAAAAAAGCACAAATGACGAAAAACATCCAATCATCCATTTACTATTCTTCCTCAAAATAAAAAAAACCCATTCCTTTTTTCAGATCGTCGACGGTACTTTTGCATAAGTTTTACGGATGTCTTGAATCAGACATTATTTGAAAAACAAAAGATGTAGACATAGAAGTTATTGGGATGTTCCCCTACTGTGTTTCATATCTTCATTGGATAATAATTTTACTCTGCAACAAAGTTAAATTTTGAAGTTGGCTCGAATTTTCAAACGAGAAATAACGTTTCTTTTCCAATCACTGTGTTAGTTATTGTTGTCCCCACGGGGACTGGGCCAAGCCCGGCTGCAGTGCAACGCCAGGACGACCCTTGGAAAGTCGGAGCAAGCCCCGAGTCTTTCCTAGGTTCCAAAAATCATATAACCTTTATTACACTCATTCGAGTGTATACGGTAGGTTAATACGATAAGAACAGATACTACACTTTGATCTTAGCTAATAAGTCGAAGAAGCGATTCAGAGAGGACGAGGCGCCGGGTTTAGGGCCAGTGTACCGACAAAAACCGGGTTCGCGTCAACCACTATACTCATAGGTAGGCAAGGTAGAGATCAGAGCTGTCCGAAACGACTTTTTCGAGAAACGGAATTTGAAATAGAATATTTTTCTCAGAATTCGGAATCTATTCAGTGGCGTTGCTGAGACAGAGAAGAAGGATGAAAGTTTGAGATTGTTTATTTTCAATTTGATATCAGTATTTCGGAAAAGGTGTTGAATAAGGAATCCTATTTTTTATGATGGTAAAAGATAGCTATTACAGTTTTCCATCTTTGATTCTGAATTACATTTGAAATTATTCTCTTCCAGTGAGCGAAAATGACGCATTTAACCCGGAAACTCCTTTTAGAACATCATCTTTGCCAGAAGACAATATCGAACGATTGGTCTAAATTACCCACAGGCTCCGCCCCCCTCTCCACAGGATACATAGTGACGCGCGAAACCCGGGAGATGTCGGCTGCTATCTAGGGGGTCCCTATATAAACAGATGACCTATATAAGGTTTCGTTCTTCCGAGAACATATACTAAAATTGGAACAATACAGAGAAGATTAGCATGGCCCCTGCGCAAGGATGACACGCAAATTCGTGAAGCGTTCCAAATTTTTTGACTGATTTTTCATGATGACCTAATCAGAGAAGACGACTTTTATTTTGATTTTGATGGGGTTGTTCAGGTGAGGCAAAAAAAAATAGCGAGAAATCCGCGAAAACTAGTAGACTCAGTCAATCTGGCTCTTTGGGAGAAAACTGAAGAAAACTATAGAGAACATATTGTCAAACTTTGGGTTCAAAAAATCCACTTCGAAAATTTGAAAGGAATCTCCCATGATTGCTGTTAGGACATCATAATTTTTTGGCAATCAGATTAACCATGAGTTTTCAAGAAGCTATTAATTTGTATTTTTTCTGAAGCAGGAAACAATTTTAAATTCAGATGACTGTGGCTGATGACGTGGCTCCTCCATCTCCATTCAAACACAAGGATGACGACAACTCGATTGACGATGTGGATGAGGATCGAATTGATGAAATTCTTAGGGACTCTTTCAAGAATTTAGTGTTTTGACAAGGTTTTAGATCAAGTTTGTTTTCTAAAAAGGCTATCGAAGTTTGCTATATTTGTCATAGGTACGGAAAAATCGTTCATTTTGGCAGTTGATATGAATCGTCACATTTGGGTTTCGGTTTTTGATTAACACAGTTTGCAAAAAAAAGAGATCACATAGAAAAGTTGAACAAAGGTAAGGGTAAACTTCTTACATAGAATATTTTTAGGTTAAAGTAAAAATACACGCAAATATTACGAAATTAAATATGGAAACATTAAATGGGAGAACGAAATGAGATACGGTAGATTTTTTGAAATGGGTCATAGCTGGGAATCGAAGTGTCTCAAAAGTATCGTTTTGATGGGAAATTGAAAGCATTTTGAGACGGTTTTTGTTGAAATTGATAGTTGACCCGGGGAAAGATTGAAAATCACAGTAGTTTGTCGAAGTTTTTGAAACAGGCAAGGTGATGATTTGGAGGGGAAAAAAGAATAAATAAGGGAGGATAAATAGATATATACATATAGATAGATAGATGGGAGCTAAATAAAATTGTAAAATGAACGATTTTTACGGCCATGGCCAATATGGTTTTGTCAGCATCACTTGCTTATTTCGCTGAGTTTTTGTGTGATCCTCATCTGAAGTTAGACTTCGGCGACGGTGTTTGTGGCGAATGTGGTGCTGAAAAAATGTTTATAAAATAATGAGATTTCGAGATTAAAAACATTTTTAAGTTGACTTGGTTTTTTAGAATTAATAGCAAGACGTTGATAGCTGCCGATCTTTTACTATCAATATAGTTTCAGAATTTCAGAATCCTAGAATCTAATAATCTCCCAATCAAATCAATGTAATCAAACGTTGAATTTATGAAACCCAGTTCAAAAATACTGATCCTTTTCCCATAGATACCGTAAAACTTGTAATAGAAGCCCCCCCCCCCTCCTAACTTTCAGTTTTGAGCAAATTTATCTCGTTTCCTGTTATTGATACAGAAAAGTTTCCAATTGATAAATTGTTTATCCTATAAGAAGGAGCGATTTTCAAAATTTTCAATTTTCATCCCAGATCACTTCGATTTCCAAAATTTCTGTGAAGTTTCAGTAAAATCACGTGAATTTCCAAAATCCCAGAACTCGAACCGTTCGAGTTCTGTGAAAAATCCCAGAAATTGCAACGTTCAATTTCTGTGAATCACGTAAAATTTCCAAATTCCCAGAAATTTTGGAAATCGAAGTGATTTGGGATGAAAATTGAAAATTTTGAAAATCGCTCCTTCTTATATTATCGAAAATGTATTGTCAGTTGACACATTTTGGTTATCTTTTGCAGGAATCGAGATAATTGAGCTCAAACTTGACAATGTGGAGGCTCTTCTATTACATGATTTACAGTAGCCACTTTTTGATATTTTCTTTCGAAAAGATTTATAGGATCAAAGTTGAGGGTTTGGATATTATTATATTATTGTTGACAGAAACTACGAAAAACAGGTAACCACTAAAAAACAATCACATACTTTTAGAAATTTAGGTTAAACTTTAGTTTCCAAGCCAAAGTTTCTCAAAAATCTAGAAATAATTTTACTGTTTCTTCTATATTTTACAAGTGCCAATGATATCTATTTCTGCTGCTTCTTTCTTCCCCAAATATGCTTTACATTATAGACTTTACGGTAGTTTCAGAATTTTAGAATGTTCGAATTCTAGAATCTCCGAATTACTCAATCAAATCAATATATGAAATCCAGCTCAAAACTTTCGTCCATTTCCCCTAATTAGTGCCTAATCCCGGAAGTCAAACGGTTTTGTGTCAATACGTGTGTATTGTTTTTGCCCATATATAAAAATCGAAAACAATTTGGAAAGTGAAATGCCTCCGAGAATATCTTCTTTTCTCCATTTTTTTTTTCCAGAAAGAACACTCTAGCCTCTTCTCTTCTCACATCGTTTCCAAACGACGTCATCAAGTTTCTTCCGCCAATTCTGACCCCTTTTTCTCGGGACAGTGTTTTTGCTTTTCTCGAAGAATCTCACGTGACTTGTTGAAAATCCCGAAAAGACTAACCTTGTGATGATGATGATGAGCATGCAAATTGGGTTTCTCGATTTCGAAACCATCTTCAACTGTCATCACAGCTGCTGAAGAGATTGGATAGGCGTCAAGTGTGGAGACGAGAAGAATCAGGATGAGGATGCAACTGAAAAAATAGAAAAATTAGGGACGAGAAGACAGAATGAGAGAAAGTAGAAGAGGATCTGTATCCTTTTGCTTTTTACCTATCCGTTCAGAAATCGGGAGATTAGGATAGAGAAAACCTAGACATCGGGAGAGAAAGTTTACAAGAAGAAGGTGAAGATAACGGAGAAAGGATGTGTCTGTTTAATTCAAGGACAATTGTCTGGGATTACTTTTTTTGGGAATAGTACCTGATCTTTAAAGTCTTCCAAACATCACAGAAAACCTAAAACCACAGGCTCTAAGCTACAGGGCGCTTATATCCCCGGACTAAAGTTTGTACAAGCATACAATTTGAGTGAAGCGTTGTACTAGACTCAAATTTGGTGTGAGAAAATTCAAGAAATTCATCAGTAAACTGGCAAAATTTCGAATTATATTATTAACTTTGAGCTGAGCTATCACTTGTCGAAGTTGCTCCATTTTTTTATACAACGGAGGTCAAGGAACATTCATCTTTAGACGATTATAACAATACCTAGACTCAAGGAAAAACTTTGAAAATTCCAGTAGAGCTGGATCAAACGTAAAACTATATTTTTACAGATTTTCGTGCTTCCAAAATACTCGTGTCTAAAGATATACCCGTCTTTATCAGTCTATGTAATTGTGCGCCTCTCGGTTTGGATAATTGGTTTTCAATTATGATTAAACAAAAATCCGAAGACACAAAAAATAACCATCTTATGATTTGACCAAACCCTTGAAACTTTCAAGTTGAAACGGAAAAAAATTATTCAAAAACTCACCAGCAGTCATCCTTGAAACCCTGCATTCTGAATCGGAGTAGTTGTCGACTTTTCGGAATGAATGTTCTCTTTCCTTTTCGAAAAATGTTGCGTCGTCTGAGAAGAGGTGGAGGATAAAAAAGGTCAGATAGTGAATTTGACCTGAAAAAAAATGAAAATGTTCATCTCTCTTTATCCATTTCATCTGGGTCAGTGAGAAGAGACAGGATTACGGTAGAGGGACAAAAATGCCACGTCATCATCAAAGAGTAAAGATAAAGTCCCATAAATTATAATGTGATGATCGAAGGGAAAGGGGGAGAGAAAGTGAAACCGAGTAGATTGAAAGGAAAAGGGGAAAGCGTGCGAAATGTGGGCGGAGCCGGAGAGAGCGCTCTACGTGAGGAGACGCAGAGAAACCGGGCTTGCTCCGCCTACACGGACTGTGTTGCGTCAAATTTTGCAAAATTTGAATTAGAAAAAAAAGACTGAAATTGAAGAAATTAGCTAAATTTGAAATTTTACAGTCTCTTACTGCTTGCAGAAGCAAATTAGAAAAGAAAGCATGATTGGAATTTGGGCTGTAATATTTTTTGGGAAGAAAAGAAGAAAAAGTAAAAAGAAGAAGGGGTTGAAGGAGGTGGATCCAGAAACAATTTCAAGTAGGATAAGTAAGTGTGACACTCAATCAAAAACAGAAAAATAGGAAAAAGTGAAAAAAAGTGAAAATTTGCACTACTCAAGAGGTAATAAATATCCGATGGATATAATATGCAAAAAAGTGAGAATGATGAATTGATAAGAGATAGACAGGTGATAAAGTGAAAGGACAAAGCAAAAACCTCTAAACTTGTCCCTCATTTTCTCTATTCTATCTCTACAGTTTTCCCTTTTTTTCAAGCCAAAAAAAACCAGAAGAGTGATTTGAACCCGATCAACAGATTTTATTGTGATTTATTGGCACTGTTGGTGGAGGTGATTATCAAGAATGTGTCAATTTTTTCAGTTTTTTTGGTTAGTTTTCCGGATGACTTCAAAATTTATGTTTAGTACGTACTGTAAACACTCTAATAAAATGCCGTCCTATACTTCCACCTTGAGCTCAATTATCTCACTTTCTATATGAGATAAAATAAATGTGTCAACTAATAAAATATATATCATAACATTCCCAACATTTTATTAGTTAACAAGTTTTTCATAGCTAGCTTTTACAGAAATGGAGATAATTAAGCTCAAAGAGCATGCATAGGGTGGCCTTCTATCAGAGTGTTTACGGTGCTTTTAATTGCTACCGCTCACAATTTTCCGTTATTACAATTTTTGATTCTCTAGAACGGTATTTGGTTGAAATTTATCAAATTTTGAGGTCATCAAAAAATGAAAATTCTTCATTTATCGCCTATTGTCACCATATCACTACCGTCCGATTTGCAAAGCCACTAACCTTTTTTAAATGTCTTGAAGCTTTTGAAAATTCAGTTTTATTACCGTAATCTCTGAAATTCTGAATTATGCAATTATTCTTCTGATCTAGTTTTTGCTCAAATGATTCTATTTTATGATTCACCTAAAAAGTTTCTATTTATCATGTTGGTTCCGAAAATTGAATTTATTTGAATTCACTCAAGACATAAACAAAACATCACCTGAATATGTTTTATTAGATTGGTTCCAGAGCAGAAAGTTGCACATAAAAATATTGAAAACTTGGAGTCTTCAGAAAGAGGCTTCAAGGGTTTGGAAATCTCATAGCTTCCGATTTTACGGTTCCTTACTTTTTATCTTGAAACTAGAATATGTGGAATACTGTAGTTTATTTCTGATAATACGAATGAAAGTCCAGTGGAGCGAATTTGGCAAAGCCTCTCGTGAATGATAAGCAAGCCTCTTTTCTGTTCGTTCTGGTATGATTATCGTTTGACCCCGAACTTTGTCTCTTCGTGCCGATTCGGGAAGTGAAACGAAAGAGAGAATCCAGAGAAAAGAGATACACCATATATATAATAATCAAGTTCGAGATAACCCTCTCTCCAGCGCTGATGAGAACAGGAAATCGTTTTTACTATAAATTCACAGTCAATCACATAAAATATAAAACACACACCATCGTTATCAATTCAAAACCGATTCGAGATCCTCGTTCCAACGAGAAAACGATTGTTCGCTTTTGCAAAAGCGATAAAGTAGGCAGAACACAACCCCTTCCCCCTGCATGTCCCTTTAATTTAGGGAATTTATTCCAAAAATTTCGATTACGACATCTCATCAGAATATAGATATCAGCGATCGGATGAGAAAAGGAATAGTGAAAGTTAATAATTCACTTTCCATCTATCTCCTCGTATGGAGATTACCTTTCGCTTGTGTTCGGACGCGACGGGTTATCCCCTTTTCACTGATTAGCGTCCAACTAGTGATTAGCCTTTGGTTAGATGAGGACGACGAGTGATGATTATCAATTAATCAACGTGATATCTGAATACTCAAGCCGATGACGTAAAGTGTAATGAAGTTTTTTGGAGGCGACATCTACATACGTCAACCGAACACTCGGAACGCCCTTTTGAAAGAAGACTGGATTTTTGAAAGATTTGAATGACTGGAAATTGATATGTGAAGTCTAGTACCGATGGAAGATATTTTACAGCTAGGTAGCTTATAGGATAAGATATACTATAGGACATAATCGTAAGATATAGCTGAGTCACTTTGGATTTTTGAGCGCGCAACTTTCGGGCGCTGTTTCTGAATAGTATGGGTTTCGCCAAAAAAGTAGAATCTCATAATCCTGAAGACAGTGACTTGTGAGCGTCATTGGATTTACCGTAAAACCTGTAATAGAAGGGCTTCCTAAATTATAACTTTGGGCTCAATTATCTAGGTTCCTATTAGAGATATAAAAAAAGTGATCAACTGATAAATTGTTTATCATAACACCACAAACATTTTATCAACTGACAAATTTTTATATCTCTGATGAGAACCGAGATAAGTGAGAACCGCTTTTCTGTATTACATTAGGTTTTACGGTTTGTGAGTTTTAACCCTGAAACCAGGGAAAGAATAATATTTTCGACAAAAATGGTTTACTACTAATTCCAAAATTAGAGGACGAGCTTTAAAAATGACATGAAACTGCGAATTTAAGAGAAAGACATCTCAAGAAAACGGTTAAAGGTAACTATTTAGCAATTAGTCGGATCAGAAAATGATGTCATTTATATTTACCGTTCTCGTTCATGACTCATTTCTCAGATTGGAAACTTGGCAAGGTGCCATTTGCCAATTTGCCAATAACCAAGTATTTATTCGAAGAATTAGTTTCTAGGTTTCGAAATCAAAATTTGAAAAATCTCAAGTTACTTTTATAATCCCATTTTTAACATTCTTGTGGAGAACGAACAAATATATGATCTTCTGAAATGTGAACGTTTGTCTGGATCAGTGAATCTAGCTCAATCCATGTAGTTTCGTCTGCTTTGGTCAAAACGAACTTTCACATTTTTTTTAAATTGCCTCCGTTTTGGCTCAAAAACCGTCTAAATAACAGTAAAAGAGACATTCTCGAAAAGAAGATAAACAAAATGTGTTTGTTATCGAGGAGGAGAAGGGAAAGTATAGACTGGTCAAAATGAAAAGTCAAAAAGTATCAAGTTGCGGAATAGACTTTGTCGGGATCAATTACTGTATAGTTAGAGGGAGCAAAATGTTTGTGTGAGCTCTCAAAAACAGTCAAAAAGAGCAAAAATCAATAGAGGACATAAAGAAATGGAAATCTCGTTTACAAATATCTCCCTTCCTGTGATAGATATCAAAAAGTTGGCAACTAATAAATTGTTTTTCGACAAGTGATAATATTAAAACATATTATCAGTTGACACAATTATGATATCTTTTATAGAAGCCGAGATAGTTGAGTTCACACTTGACAGCAGTTAAGTAAAATTAAAGGAAACATAATTTCAGGTGCGAACAGGAAGAGACTATATAAAGTTTCTGCCTTCTTGTTAGGTTTTCCTCAAATAGATGCCAGTGTGTAAAAAAAGTGATAAAAAGATCACTAATTTTATGAGTTGTTTATCACAGCTTCTTCATCATCACACAGTACTTTTTTCTATTCTAGAAGAAATACAACGGTAGAGAATCAAGAAGGAAGAAGAAGCAGCATTCATTACACTTCCACTTGTTTATGCAGTTTTCTTATGTCGTTTTACAATATTAATCAGAGGAATAAGGGAGGATGATTTATTCAAATTCTAGGGTTTTCGAGACGAGGAAAACCGGGATTGTGAGTAATTGACATGGAATGTGAAGGAAGTAAAGTTCAGATTGCCAGTGTAATTCATCCAATGTTTCACCAGTTTCATATAGCTTCAGTATCCTAAAACACAGGGATCGCATTCTTGTCTACAACGCTCAGTTACCGTAAACACTCTAATAGAAGGCCACCCTGTCTTTGAGCTCAATTATCTCAATTTCTATGCGTGATATCAAAAAAGTGTCAACTGATAAACTGTTGTTGGTATTATGGCAAACATTTTATCAGTAAACAGATTTCTATATACTCTTATAGAAATTGAGAAAGTTTCGCTCAAAGTGTTAGTATAGGGTGGCATTCTACCAGTTTACGATATCTGGTATATTGTAGTCCCCCATGACAACCAGGATTCCTCGATGCCCAAATTACTGTATTTTTTCCAAACTACAGTATCCTTTCTCTACCCATTATCGCGGTGGCTCTTTTGCATCATTTTTGCTTCTTCACCCCCTCAAAAGTAAATAAAACATTCGGCAACATTCCGTAACTCATTTTGCCACGTCATTTTTTGCACGGTGACCCACTTTCCGCTTCCGTTCCGGTCCGGAAAAAGCAGCAAAAACGTGAAGAGAAACGTGAAATTTGTGGACATTTTCCACTGAGTCAGCTGATCGCAAAAGTGGATTCAGAGAGGGAGAAAGTGTGGAAAGTGATCGTTGTGGTTGTTGGACTCGATGAGCCATAATGAAAAAGAAAAGGAAAAAGTAAAGGGATCGTTGGGCTCATGATAGGAATGGTTTTGTTCGTTTGAGGGGGTTACTTGACAAGCTTATTTTCAAAAAATACTGTTACATAATTTTGTTTTCAAATAATCAACTGTACGAACAACCTAATATTTCTTGGAGTCTCAGTGGAAAATACTGAAGAGAAGCATGGGGCAACAAAGGATTTGAAATCAACAGAATTAAAATGAAAAACTTGGAATCACGATGGAATATCATTATTTATTGAGCACTAATTTATCAAATAAAACTCTTGAAACAGAAGTTTTTGTAAAATATATGTTAAATTGTTTTCTTCTAATTGGGGACCATAATTAGTGGAAACAGCTCAAGTTGAAGTGTTGGGAAAAAAGTGAACAGGTCAACTGAAAAAAATTCTGGGCATACCATTTTTTAGTTCGAAACGTTTTTAGTAGGCATAGAGAAATTTTAAGAGGGATTACTTTTTTTCAAAAAAGTTTTCAGAGAATTCCTGAAGTTGAGTGATTTGGTTTGAAACCTGATTTAAAGCTATCTTTCATGTT